GTAGCCCGAGATCTTGTTGTTGATATCGCACGTGGTTCGTTCGTTTGGGTTTTCAGGGTACATAGTGGTCATCTCATATGCGAGAAACGGCGATACTTCGGTCACAATTAGCAGTGCAATTAGGTGATTGTAGATACTAGCCGAATGAAATTGAGAGTAGAAAGTGAAGTGGAATACGCGCACGCAGCAGTCGAGAGTGAGCGGGACCACTTTGAGACAGGACACAGTAGATGCGGTTGACAGGAACATGACTTGATATTTGCAGCCTAGCACTAGTTTGTTGTTTTGCCATGGCATCACCACTATCATGGTCACTGCGCTGCTTATGGCCCCTACAATACAAAACCGTGTTTCTTTTCGAAAAAAGCAGAAAGTCACGCTATGTGAAACTGATAGTTCAGGGCGAAATGGCAGATCTTTTTATGGCCTTGGAAAATCTAATTTGAAAAGTTAATATTTCGCTTTGTGGTCAAAATGGATATGAATTTGGCAGACAAAATTAGAGCAAAAAGTTTCAATTATATTCAATCAATCTACTAGCTTTTTTAAATTGATCGGGTAAAACTTTTTCTGCGGAAATTAGTTTGCGAAACCTTATTATTAGAAAAATGTTGAATGATATCAAATTTTTTGAAAATATTGAATGGCCAATTTTTACAAAACGAAAAAAAAGTTGGTACCAAGTAAGAAGTAGACAATGATGCTGTTCCAGAAACTTGTGTATTTGAACTCATATAGCCTCTAATTTAAAGAGCATTTGTTTCATCCGTTTTCAAATCGCAGGGTGTTTTTTTAACGCTTTTATACCTGTTTTTTCTTGCCTTCTAATGCTGCCTCTTGCCATTTTTGCTTGACTTGTCAAATTATTCCAGAGATTGTCAAATTATTCAAGAGATTATGAGGTAATAAAAAGTTGCTTACAATATTAAAAACAAGCTGATTCAAAAAAATTGTTCTAGTTAATTTTTTTCCGCACAAAACTAGTAGCGTTTATATATAAAAAGTCATCTTAGCCCGTTTTATGCAAATATGTGTTATTTCAAATGGGATACCCCTTCGAAAACTTTCGGTTATTTCACATCCGTTGAGCTTGTTCAAGAAGATACGGAGAAGAAGTGTTACAACTAGCTAAATATCAACATCAATTTAATAGCTAATGAATTTTAAACAGCAATTGATTTCATGCTAAATTTGCTGTGTTTAGTATATTTGAAGTGACTCCGGTTTGATTTTTTCGGCGAAAAAACCGACAACAGAATATAAATTTGAAAGCTTTGAGCGAGATATTCGACGCAGTTTCTGACATCAAAATTAAGCAGCCAAATGCCTCGACCGTGTTTTTGATAGCGATTCCGGCTGCAAAGGCTTTCTCATGGTGTTCCCAAGTTAGCTTGCCTCCCAATTTGTCTTGCTCGGATAGCTGAAGATTTGCGGTCACGTCATAAATAGGGTTAAGTTCAAGTATGCTTAACAAAGTGATGACTGACAGTCCAATGCTGAGTTTGTTCATTAGTTTCACCTCGGAGTCCTGAGCACTTCTTAATTTGACACAAACGTGAAACATGGTGTAGCCGACGAACACAAAAGACACTAGGTACACGAATATGGACACGATATACAGTTCGTAGCCCGAGATCTTGTTGTTGATATCGCACGTGGTTCGTTCGTTTGGGTTTTCAGGGTACATAGTGGTCATCTCATATGCGAGAAACGGCGATACTTCGGTCACAATTAGCAGTGCAATTAGGTGATTGTAGATACTAGCCGAATGAAATTGAGAGTAGAAAGTGAAGTGGAATACGCGCACGCAGCAGTCGAGAGTGAGCGGGACCACTTTGAGACAGGACACAGTAGATGCGGTTGACAGGAACATGACTTGATATTTGCAGCCTAGCACTAGTTTGTTGTTTTGCCATGGCATCACCACTATCATGGTCACTGCGCTGCTTATGGCCCCTACAATACAAAACCGTGTTTCTTTTCGAAAAAAGCAGAAAGTCACGCTATGTGAAACTGATAGTTCAGGGCGAAATGGCAGATCTTTTTATGGCCTTGGAAAATCTAATTTGAAAAGTTAATATTTCGCTTTGTGGTCAAAATGGATATGAATTTGGCAGACAAAATTAGAGCAAAAAGTTTCAATTATATTCAATCAATCTACTAGCTTTTTTAAATTGATCGGGTAAAACTTTTTCTGCGGAAATTAGTTTGCGAAACCTTATTATTAGAAAAATGTTGAACGATATCAAATTTTTTGAAAATATTGAATGGCCAATTTTTACAAAACGAAAAAAAAGTTGGTACCAAGTAAGAAGTAGACAATGATGCTGTTCCAGAAACTTGTGTATTTGAACTCATATAGCCTCTAATTTAAAGAGCATTTGTTTCATCCGTTTTCAAATCGCAGGGTGTTTTTTTAACGCTTTTATACCTGTTTTTTCTTGCCTTCTAATGCTGCCTCTTGCCATTTTTGCTTGACTTGTCAAATTATTCCAGAGATTGTCAAATTATTCAAGAGATTATGAGGTAATAAAAAGTTGCTTACAATATTAAAAACAAGCTGATTCAAAAAAATTGTTCTAGTTAATTTTTTTCCGCACAAAACTAGTAGCGTTTATATATAAAAAGTCATCTTAGCCCGTTTTATGCAAATATGTGTTATTTCAAATGGGATACCCCTTCGAAAACTTTCGGTTATTTCACATCCGTTGAGCTTGTTCAAGAAGATACGGAGAAGAAGTGTTACAACTAGCTAAATATCAACATCAATTTAATAGCTAATGAATTTTAAACAGCAATTGATTTCATGCTAAATTTGCTGTGTTTAGTATATTTGAAGTGACTCCGGTTTGATTTTTTCGGCGAAAAAACCGACAACAGAATATAAATTTGAAAGCTTTGAGCGAGATATTCGACGCAGTTTCTGACATCAAAATTAAGCAGCCAAATGCCTCGACCGTGTTTTTGATAGCGATTCCGGCTGCAAAGGCTTTCTCATGGTGTTCCCAAGTTAGCTTGCCTCCCAATTTGTCTTGCTCGGATAGCTGAAGATTTGCGGTCACGTCATAAATAGGGTTAAGTTCAAGTATGCTTAACAAAGTGATGACTGACAGTCCAATGCTGAGTTTGTTCATTAGTTTCACCTCGGAGTCCTGAGCACTTCTTAATTTGACACAAACGTGAAACATGGTGTAGCCGACGAACACAAAAGACACTAGGTACACGAATATGGACACGATATACAGTTCGTAGCCCGAGATCTTGTTGTTGATATCGCACGTGGTTCGTTCGTTTGGGTTTTCAGGGTACATAGTGGTCATCTCATATGCGAGAAACGGCGATACTTCGGTCACAATTAGCAGTGCAATTAGGTGATTGTAGATACTAGCCGAATGAAATTGAGAGTAGAAAGTGAAGTGGAATACGCGCACGCAGCAGTCGAGAGTGAGCGGGACCACTTTGAGACAGGACACAGTAGATGCGGTTGACAGGAACATGACTTGATATTTGCAGCCTAGCACTAGTTTGTTGTTTTGCCATGGCATCACCACTATCATGGTCACTGCGCTGCTTATGGCCCCTACAATACAAAACCGTGTTTCTTTTCGAAAAAAGCAGAAAGTCACGCTATGTGAAACTGATAGTTCAGGGCGAAATGGCAGATCTTTTTATGGCCTTGGAAAATCTAATTTGAAAAGTTAATATTTCGCTTTGTGGTCAAAATGGATATGAATTTGGCAGACAAAATTAGAGCAAAAAGTTTCAATTATATTCAATCAATCTACTAGCTTTTTTAAATTGATCGGGTAAAACTTTTTCTGCGGAAATTAGTTTGCGAAACCTTATTATTAGAAAAATGTTGAACGATATCAAATTTTTTGAAAATATTGAATGGCCAATTTTTACAAAACGAAAAAAAAGTTGGTACCAAGTAAGAAGTAGACAATGATGCTGTTCCAGAAACTTGTGTATTTGAACTCATATAGCCTCCGTCTGCGTCGCAGGTCGACCAGGAATAGTGAGAGAAATAAAATAGAAGCAACATGTAGAAAATAAGTGACCCAGTCAAAAATAGTCACCATTGTATCGATCGATTTAATCGGCTGAAAGAGTGTTTAATTCTATCTCATAAAAACGGAGAATTTCGAAGATAATTTTACCGGCTGAAAATTAGAGCTACTAGTTTTGTAAGGTATTTGCAGAAAAGGAAGAAGGCTTTGCCTGGGCAAATATGAGGTTTTTGACCAATAAGAAATTGGCTGTTCAATTTATTTTTCTTTTTTTTTCAAAAGCAAGTATTTGATAGACTCCTATGTTTTCTTTTTAACTAGGAAATCAGCTTCAATTAATTTCAAAAAATGAAGGATTATCTAGCGAAAAGAAGGAAGCCACCAAAGTCTAAGCCTCATTTTCTATGGAACGCAAATCAAACAATAAATACGAGGGTCAATTAATTTAGAAAAAAAATCTTTTTTCAGGAGACATTTTGTCCAATTAACCGGAAATAACAATTGAACGACAGTTAATACCGCCCTAAGGACTAAACATTTTGTGTTACTCTGATACGACCAATAAAAAGAAAGCGTTCAATGACGAGCCTAAATTTTTAATCTAGTTTTTCTTCTTAATCAACTTCCTCATTTAACTGAAAAGATGAAACCCTACTGCCCTTGTAGTGACGTCAAATGATGATCCATTAAGAACTGTTCCAATTGTTACTAAGTATCGCTCTGAAACTTACACTTGTTGAAGCATGCATGTAAATCGTATTTATCTGACTGATAAATGTTGACTGGCCTCTAAATGCAGTCATAACTAGTATGGACAATGGTGGGAACTGAACTTCCATTGGTTTGATCGAAACGTAGCGTAGCTTGGCGTTAGATCCTGCCTAATGTCCGTAGAGGTGGTTAAGTATATTTCGAATTTTTGAAACATGCAATTTCTACCCTACTATAATGGGCGATAAAGTGTAACCAAATATTATTCAAGAAAGATTTTTGTTTCAGACTAGTGAATGCTCTTTAGATTACCTGTGACTGTTGGAAAAATCAAAAAGTAGATTAAAAGAAACAGAGTTGATAGCTCACCTAAATTCACAACGAGAGGGCAATTGCCGATTCACAAAATTTAATATTCGGTAGTTTCGTAAAATTTGACTGCGTCTGAGCCATGAACGGTGGGCATCCATACGGAGACGTGCACTCTAACGGCGATTCGGCGAAGGTTATGTATAATGGCTCATATCTTCATCAACAGGTGCCGAACTTATCAAATGGAGACGTGCTGTCCAAGTTCGAGCTGGCTAAAAAGGAGATGTTGCAACAGTTCGTCCAGCTGCAGAAAACGACAAAAGCTCTGTCTACTGCTTTCTCAGGTTTGTTCCAACAATTTCTGAGATGTCATTTTTTAAAGTTACGCTCAAATAGGCGCAGATTTAACGTGAAAAATACTGTTCAAGGCAATATGGGATCTAATAAAAATTGGGCTAATCGTTTAAAGTGATTTGGAGACGTGATCTTTTTGGATATTCTTTATCTTCATGTAGCATTTACTTTCATCTCTAAATCGAACTTGACGCAATGTAAAAGGAGAACAATTAAAAAATGTTTCTTATCAGATTTTTCAAGTACTGCCGGCAAAATTGAGCTGGATTTGGACGTGAAGCCAGTGGATAATGCAGTCAGCCAAATTGACCATATAAATGACGTCATTGCTCGTGACCAGATGAAAGTAGTCTTCTTCGGCAGGTAGCATTTTATCTTTATCCTGATTTCAAAAACATAAGTTTTGGATGTAATCTCATGATCATTGTATAAAACAGCGTAGTGTGATTTTACCGATTAACTTTTTTCCAACCGAACTTGCAAATAAAGTTGCTCATTTAGTGACCTTTCTGCTGTATAGCATTGGCAATTTAATACCATCTGTTTTTATTGGTGGCTAGTGTTTGTCTCTTTTCAAGCGACCATTGAGCAGATGCGAGAACGTGCAGCTTTTAATCTCCAGTTTGTCGGCTCGAATCCGGAACGGCAGAAATTTTGTGCTTCAAGGCTTATTTTTACCTTATTTTTTTAAACCTTAAAACACTTATTATCAAATGAAAAGTTTCATTTGTTCAAGTACCTGTCACAATTTTCTTTGGGGTGTTGACTGATAAATACGAAAATAATTTAAGTCACTAACAGGTATTTCATTAAACACGTCAGTTCAAAGCTTGTCTCCCTACACAAGTTCAAAGTTTTTCTACGAGATCTTTCCAAAGGTTGCCTGCCACCGGGCAATCTTCTGCAGTAAAAAAAAATTATTTTTAAACTTGATATTTACTCTTCTATCATTGAGATTAATTGTATCATTTCGTATCTTATAACTTAAGCTTTCCTTGTCAAAGAGGTCCGTGACTTGTGTGGTAGAATGAGCTCTCTTTTTTCCGACCTGAGTTGCAAATATAAGTCGCAAATATTTGATCAATAACCAGCTATTAATTACAGCCAATGCTAACGATATTAACACATACTATTATATTACAAATAGCACTTTAGCTTCAAGGTATCATGGATCTGTAGCGTAGAGGTAGGGAAAGGAACCCGAAACAAAATAAGAGGGTTCGAACCTGGGCAGGGTCGGATCTTTTTAATGAACTTTTTCGTATACTAGTTAAAATGCGTCCGCTCTATAAATTGAGGCGTGCTAGTTGGTAAATTTCTTTTTTTTTTTCAAATTGACTGGTACTGCTAATGCGTCATAATTGGCTTGCTTCATTCAGCAATTATATAGGTTCATAATTGGCGTGCGTCACTGAAGAAATTTCGTTGACTCAAAGTTTGCTCATTTAGTGTTTCCCAGTAGCGTTGCCTGTCATATTTTTGCTTGTGTATGCGAAGTGCAACTTCGCCTCTGTGTAAAAAATAATATTCTATATATTGCACGTGGTATTGTTCAACGGCCGTTAATAGAAAATTTTTTCAGGTCATATCAATATCTTTGCTGTGGTGACAAAAATGACATATTAGATTTTTTCTTAGTTTTTTTGATAGCATGCTTGGCATTGAGATTGGCGTGTAGTTTTCTGTCATTTCAGATCATCATTTTTTTATATTGGCCCTTGATAGTTTTTTTCATCTAATGAGGCGAATTGTTTTTTAAGGTACTCATTAAAAAGTAGTTAGCTCTAATGGTTTCTTTTGATTGAATGCCTGTTTACGCTTGCGATTAGCAAGCGACATCAGATCGGAATACATACTTTTTTCTTCTTACCTACTTGTTTATTAGATTCAGTTAGTTTTTTGGTTCATAATGGGTTTCAATTTCTTAGCGTCTCCGCAACACTTAGTCTAGAAGTAACGAATACGCCTTGGACGGTAAAGGTCCCGGGATTGAATCTGACCATGACCTGTTTTTTTTAACGGAAACGATTCCGGTTCAAAAAAAAAATTGGCTTATTAGTGGTCTGCTTATGTTTTGTCGGCTTAGTGCGGTTTTTTATGTGGCATTGCAATTGACGCGAAGCTCCGCTTTACCTCTGTTTCCAATATTGTATTGTCTATAAGTTTTCGCTACCATCTTTCAGTGCCCACGCTGGAATGTCAGACGGACCTGGTGGCTTTTTGCAATAAGTTTAAGAAGTCATTTGATTGTTGTTTTTTGGTTTAGTAAACTTATTTTGCATTGGCTTAAGGATAAAAAATTATTATTTTAATTTTGATTAAATAAGGTTGGTTGGTGGTATAAAAATTTGTAATGTTCGAACTTTTTAATGGCTCAGAAAATTTTTTGAGAACGACTTCTTTTGGCATTTTTTGTTTACGTATCAGTTGACGTCTAACCATCTAACCAGGCATTGTCGGCTTAGTGAACGCTGGTAAAATACTTGAAGCGTGTTTAAAGCTAGTGTTGTGTTTCTCGTCTTTTGTTTTTGAAATTGATTTTTTTTCCAGTTTTTGAATCTCACTGTCTATTTGGTAATTTGAAATGCTACGATCTCGCTGAATCGCAAGTGATGCGAAGCTCCACTTCGCCTCTGTAGAATAAATTTTGTCCGTCAGTGTAGGCTGTATAAATGAAATTATCCTGCTAGCTGAACCATTTAGTTTGCTCCCCAGGGGACAAAATCAGGCAGCAAACCCAACCAAACCTTGCTTGACAATTTTTCATTCCGCTTATTTGCTTTAAATTGTTCCCTTATGCTGGTTTAAAATGTCAGTTTTTTCATTTAATTTTTAGCGTCTTTTTACTTGTTCGACTGTTTGTTTTTTTTTGTGCTGTCAGACATTGAGGATGCATGTAAGGTTCAAAATTTACATCTATTTTTTGGGGTGATTAGTGTAAAACACGTAAATCCATCATGTTGTTTAGGCTGATTGAACTTCGGAATTTGTAGTAAGGATCATTCTGGCAGATGCGAAGATCCCAAGTTTCTTTTTTATATGTCAAAATTTTCCTTACAAATTGCAACAAACAGTAATAAAGTGGGTAGTAAGTGACCTCTAATTGCACAGTGCTTGATACTTGATGTCTTGGTAAAGCTGAACTTATTTCGCTGCCGTCTCAAGTTCGTATTAGATTCCGTAATCTAGGAAATTAGCATTAAATCCCCTATTGAAATTGAAAAATGAGCAATCATTGTCAAATTTTGCCACAGAAAGCTTGAAACGGTGTTGACTCTTCTCTTAACGGTTCTCTTAGAGAAATAAAAGTGTTCGTCATCTCAAATACAGGAAAAATCCTAGAGTTAAGCTTTGCTTGAGATAAGAAATAAATATCAGACCCGTACATGGTATTACCTTGATTAGCTTACCTGAAAATGTTTGAAAAAATTGAAGCAGTTCATTTCCTGAACTTAGTCATGTCTGACCACGAGCTATTCGTAGATAGGTTTGAAAAAGCGGAATGGCGTGCCTTTTACAAGCTATTTGATTATTACGGTGTGTTTTTATAATCAGTTTTTTTCTTGGTGGTCAAAGCAATTTCATGCAACCCTTTCCTATTAGGACATATAGCTTGTAAAAGATACCGTGTAAAAGGTAAGCGAGTAGCTCTTGGATTTTATTTCAAATGTTTGAAGATAGACATGTCGAAAGAGTAATTTTTAGAAAGTTATAGGTTCACTTACACAAACACACTAATAACTTTTCAATGCTCTGTTTGAATAACGAGCTTTGCCCGCTGAATTGTACAGTGCTGATTTCATTTATCTGAACAAAGCAAACAAAAGTTGAAAATTCAAATGCGTTTTTCTCAAATTGGATCAAGATTGGACAAAAAAAAGAAGGGAACCAAAATTGGTCAGAACTTCAACAGAAATATTATGGTATAACAAACAACTTGCCAGCAGCTGGAATCGCTCTATAACACTACGCTCTCTATTTAATCAATTAGCGTGCCTCAATATGATTCAAATAGATTTTGTTTTGCGAAATTTTTAATCAATATTTAATCCCAAAAATGGGTCATTTTGGCTTTTTCTAAGTTAATCAAGAATTACGCTAAAACGACCAAGTTGATTGAGAAGAAAATTTTATCGAAAGGAGTCCTTGAAGATCCATTAATTGGTTCTTGCTTCGGGAAGTAGATATTTATTGCCAAAAAAAACGAAATCTTTAAAGAAGACTGCTCGTATGTCAGGGCAAAGCCTTGAATGTTCCGACTATGCCCCTTTATCTCTATTGAATAGTTTTTGGGAAAAGAAAATACTGCAAATCTATAAATTTTGGACAGTATATCAAAGTGTGAAAGTTTGAGTCGAACGAAATTAATATGATCGGTTAGCTATAGCCTCATCTCAATTTGGAACGATTTTGTTGTGCGGGATAATTTGCCAGGCATAAATAATTCGCGTTACGCTTTCAACATTATGAATAAAATGTTCCAATCGCACATAAATTGCTCCAGAGCATTTTCATTCTTCCAGAACTTTGAAAAAATGATCGGAGGTAAAATATCTTTTTACGTTTGATTTCAGAGAGTCGATATCTTCTGCGAGATAAAAAAAATTTGTTGTTAAAAACTGTTATTTCGATCGCCGAAAATTGGCAGAATAAAAAAACCCTCCATTTTTTCATATTTTTTAAGTTTCAATTGACCACCGTGCTGTTGTCTTGTTTCCTTCGCCTGTCCTTTGCAGCTGAGCAAAACTGCAGAAAGCTTAAAACTGGCAGTTTTGAAAATCGTCGTAAGCTGTGTTATTATCACTGATATCCACGAGTTCCGAGAACTCCAACTTTTCTTGAAATGAGTATAGAAAAGAATAAGAAACCGCAAAGTGATGTCGTTTTATATTTTTGCAATTGACCAATTTCAAGTTATTATAATCTCAAGGTAACACTCAATATCAAGCACGTTTGTTGATTTTTGCGTGTATTGCAGGTGATGCAATTTTCAATAGAAGACTTAATAGTTTTGGTCAAAATTAGGGTTGGCACGTTTTAAAACATTGTTATTCTCAAAACCGCTGTTAAACTTTTTTTAAAAACAATTTTAAAACACGGTCGTTTTGCTCTGTTTTTAAACATCAGGACTGTAACATTTTTAAACAAGTCACCCGTTGTAAAATTGTTTTTTTTTTCAGCCGAAAGATGTAAGGTTTGCAGCTATTGTTTTGCATCCGATTTTTGGGGATCAATTTTAACCCAATCTGCAATGAAGAAAGCCATAGTGTGGGTTTTTACCCTTGTGATACAAGGGAATTGCAATCGGGTACTAGAATTTTTTCCCGTAAATAACTTAAGGCACAGGACTCTCTTCTCATCGGGACTCATTTCCTGAAAGCCTCTGTTAGAAACAGATTTACCGCTAAAAATTTATTTTTTCTGCAAGTTAGCATTTCAAATATTTGTTCTATACGGAATTTATCTTTTTATGTTGATTATAATTTTACCACTAGATTTATTAAATTTTCATTTTTTTGTTTTTTTTTCGGCTAGCTAGGTTTCGGCGTTTCTTATATCGGCTTAGTGACCTCATATGGTTTCATTTGACCCGCGAGTAAAGTTTGTGTGTGTTGAGGGTGAGCGGAACTTAATAATTTTTTCGGCTCTGAGGATTTCAGCTATTTTTCGACTCTATTACCGCTTGATTAATTTTCTTTCGATGCTTATCTTCTATTGTCTTAGCACGTTTGTTTTTGTTTCAAAACTAGAATAATTCAATCCGATAGATTAGTTTTTTCGACATTTTCCAATTATGGATTTTGATTTTTAACAAAATTTTCATTGAAGCATCAGTGTTTTGATTTATCCACCTATTTTCGCACTTAGGGGTGGTTCCATTTGACTTATTTTTTCTGCCGTAATCTGGGTCTTTATTTCAATCTTCGACCCTAAGCTGTGTTTAGCGGATGAAAACTTCTGCTCTGGAAAAAATTACGTGTTTTTCTTATGGTAAGTCTTCGGCTTTGATCTAGGCCTGGTGTTGCATGGTGTTAGTTTCACTCTTGTTGTTTACAGTCTTATTAACATCTTTAAAATCATTTAAAATCTCTGATCTTTACCTGGATCTGGTTACATTCAAAAAAATTCTAAATTTCGATCCATTTTCTGGAAAGCCGTTTTAAAATCAGCCGCTGGCTCCCTTATGTGAGACGGGTTAGGCTGGAGTCCATCCTCACTCATGTGTTTCCTGAACCTGAAACGTCGATGGCTGAAATATGGCTCTTTAGCTCTCTGGCGATATCCTTGTAGCAGTCATTGACTCTGATGGTTGCGTGTTTTCCTTTTCTACTGATAAGTTCCATAATTCCAACATTGAATCCATTGAAATTTAGGGCTCTGATTAGATATTACATTTCATCAGAAACCACTACTACAGCGCTCATCAATGGTTTTGACGATTTATCGAACATATTGTTCGTGCTTCTCATAACAACTACGTTTTGAATGTTCCTGAGCTTCAATTCATGCATGAAGTTTTCAACGCACATGGTGGCAATAGTGCCACCCGGGCACGAGATAGTGATAGTATTGTGCAAATAAACACCATAAAGAAAGGAGGGACCATGAAAGCAATTAGGCGTCACTTGGATCCTGAGAGCTCGATAACTTTGCGGTAGGGCCTTTGCTTCTTTGAAACGATACAATTTCGTTTGCGTAGCATAGAATTTATCCTTTCAACTCTTCCGGCATTTCTGATTTGCATTTGAATCAGATCTGAAAACTAGTTTAGTTGATAAGCGGCTCGGAAAAGATGAGTTTTAAGTCTCTGTCTGAACAAGGTATAATCTAGGAGCTCACGTAGCTGAACAGGTAGGTTATTCCACTGACGCGGTCCGCTTACTGAAAATGCTCATGAAGCTGTTATTCGAACCATTCGGGTAATAATTTACAATATGTTTTTTCTGCGAATCAATCAATTTGGCCATTTTGTTTTGGACTTTTTAGTCGTTATTATCTGATTACTGAAGCATTTTTAAATTCTGAGAACAGCTGGAAATTAGGCAAATAAAGTTTAAAATGTTGGGGTTTTTTTTTGCGGTATTTTAAAAAAAAACTATGGTTGTAACATTATGTTCTACTTGCATAACACCTGAGTATAATTGTTGCTAGTATTGCTGTATTGATCTTATGGCCCTCATGGAAGCTGTGTTTAAAATGTTCAGGACGAGTAGTGGCAAGAGTAGTGTGGCCAATGCTATTCTTAGAGGAAAAATATTGCCTGTGGGAATGGGGGACACTACCAACTGCTTCATCACCATGCAGGGCACTAGCCAGTCAGAGCCATACATGCTACACCCACTACACCCCGATACGCCACAGAGTGTGCATGTTAGATACTAACTCATGGGTCATTTTCTATTTCGTCAGTTGCATAAACGAACTCGTTCGAAATTGTTATTTTTCCTGGGAATGTTTGTTCACGAAATGAAGAGGAAAAGTTGTAATATATATCAAATATAAAATATATGAAGAAACAGTTTCGTCACTTAATCAGCGGTAAAAAGATGCTTTGATAGCTCATATGCTTGTCATTTCTTAATAGCATTAGTTTTTCATTAATTCAAGCAGGCCCCCCATTTTTGTTCTGAATTTAGTCAGTGGCGCAGCTAGCCCATGCTCTGGACAAGAACAAGTTACAAAGGAGCAGTCAGCTCATCATCTACTGGCCCAGCGACAAAGTGGACTTACTGCAGCACGACATCCAACTCATAGACAGTCCAGGCATCTCAGTGGACATCCAGACTGATCTCTGGATCGACAAGTACTGTTTAGACGCGGATGTGTTCATATTCGTGGCCAATGCGGAGTCCACGATAATGGAGACGGAGAAACAGTTCTTCCACAAAGTCAGTGAGCATCTGAGCAAGCCGAACATATTCATTCTGCAGAACAAGTGGGACTTGGCCGACTGCAGTGACGTGGACCCGCTTAGTGTAAAGCAGCAACACGTTGAACGAAGTGTCGGTATGAATATTTAAAATTAGACCGTAGTTGGAAGAGGGAATGGTTGGAGACTTTCATCAATTAGAATTAATCCTACTATCATATTATCTGCGACGATAGTGACTACTGAAATATATCTGCGATCGTTAATTAGGCTAGATTGATGAAAGAGAAACCCGAATTCACATACGGTGGCCATAACAAATTTCTACAGCAGGCCAATAAGATGTTTTTTTTCCACTCAGAAAACATGTGGCTGAGAGAAACTGAGTACCTTGTCGAAACTATGCACTAGTTGTGCGATGCAATTCATAATTGCATTATATGAACCATATAATTGTTATTGCGACCATTGAAAAAGATATATCATATTTAAGCCGTTTGCTCCAGTATCGAGAATAGCAGATAGTTTCGTCGAGAGTTATAAAGCCCTTTGTTGCAGTATCGAGAGTTTTAGTCAAAATTCGAGCAAATAAAGCGAGCGAGCAAGCTTACAATAGCTTATTTATGCTTAATTTCAGCCGTAAAAACTTACTTGTTTTTAGCGCCATTTATAGACTCAAAAACTTCAAAAGTTCAAAAAAAATTTATAAATATGCTATAGTTCTATTTTTTTTGTTCAGATCCTTTTATCACACCAGGCAGGAAAAGACAACCTTCATTTGAATAAACTTTTCTGTATTTTTTAAGACTATGGTCGGAACTTTTTGTGCAACTGGTACAGTAACCGGCTATCCTCGTTTCTTTTGTTTTTTGTAGAATTTTTGATTGATGAGTTGAAAGTGATGGATGACGCTCTCGAGGCAGAGAAGAGAGTGTTCTTCATATCAGCCAAGGAAGAGCTCATTTACAGAGTAAGTGTAAATTTTGGTGCGAGAAGATTTAATTGTAAGAATTAAAGAGCTGTGTTTATAATATGATTGTTGACAGTTCGGCTTCAAAAAAGATTTGAATTCATTCAAATGTGATTAAATATAAACAAGTTTTGTTTCAGATACAAGAGGGCAAAGGTCAAACAGTGGAGATCTCGGGCGAGTACAGGGATGCGATTGAGGAGAGGAGGCGAGAGTTCAAATCTTTTGAATCGGACTTTAAGGTAGGACACCCACAGTCTTCGATAAAAAAAATAAAAATCATTCCTTTTTCATCATGCTTCATCTTCTATCGCTTTGTTCAGTTCTGCGTGTGTGACTCTGCAATCAAGACCAAGTTTGAAAAGCACACCCAGAAGGGCATTGAGATCATGAGCAAGGTCACAGAGCTGCTGCAGAATGTATCGGAGTCTGCTAAAATTAAACGGTATAAGTTACTTCCGAACACATCAGGTTAAATATTGACTGTCTGTGTATAACCAAATGTATGGGCATGGCATCGCAAATGGCGTGAACGTTTTTTCAAGGTCAGTTTTTAATAGCCCCGGCCACACGCACTGCATGAACATCGAGGTGAGTGTAGCAGCAAAGTCTATAATCTAAGGACTAATGCCACCAATAGCAGCAATAACTAATTTTTGCTCCTGAGTTCACTGCTTCTTTCATCGAACATTTTTTTCTTGCCTATTTGAAATTTAAATGCGTTAATTAGGCTATCTTATTAGGAAAATAAGACGTTCATGTAAAGCATTGTGCTGCTATGAAAATAGTTCAAAGTTATTTTTTCTGTCAATAATAGATCCCAAAACGGAGTACAGCACAATGAACTTGTGAAGCAATACAAACAGATGAGAACCCGGGCCAAGAAGTTGGAGGCGTTTCAAAGGGAAGAGGTGGCAAAGTTTGGAAACCAAGTCCAAGCCAATGTGAGTAGAGACTGAAATGAAAAGGGCTTTAATCTGAAGTTGATTTGGTTTTCTGCAGAGTTTGGGTTTCTGCAGAACTGCAGTCCTTAATCTTTTAGATTGTACTTTAAATAGATTAAAAAGGCCATCAATCTTATTATATTTTTGTAAGTTGCTTTTCACGATGAATGGAAATTAAACAAAGTGTTGTTTTTGTTTTTAATTGCCTTAAGAGAACTGAAGTATATAATAAATTCCAAGAAAATTGAATTTTGAAATTTGCAGGTTTTTCGCATTTAAAAATAACTACAGGCTGCAGGTTATTTTTGACATGTTAGTCTATTCAGTTGTGGCTATCCGAAAAAAATCAATTTATCAGAATTGTCTATAACCATTACGAGTTCCATTCGCTGAATGGTTTGTGGCTAAAACCGAATGCAAAACAAGGAAAGGCGGTTACTGTGCAAGTAGCACAGAATTTTCCGACCATAGTCTTAAAAAATACATTTTTACAAATTAAGGTAGTTTTCTGTGTGGTGTGATATAAAAAAAATCGGTACGAAAAAATAGAAGTTGGGCAAATCCGACAATCAGAGTCAAATATTCCAATTGGAAAACAGTTTTATAGAAGAATGGCTAGAAAAACGAAAAAAAAATTCCCAAAATGGCGTTGAAAACTCCAAAAACTAAATTTAATTGCTTTAAAGTTTTGAGGGCTGCACATAAGCTGTTGTAAACCTCAGCGCTCGCAAAAGTTTCAAATTATGTCGTTCAAATCACGACTGAAAGGGCTTTAGTATGACATGTCATTCAAGCCATTCCGTTAGTTATTTGTGTTACCTGATTTTGCGCGGAAAACAAAAAGACAAAAAAAACTAAAGCACAACCGAATACCAAATTTCTTCACATTTTTCAAATGGTCGGAACTATTAGCAAATGAGAAATATTGCTATCTACGTATTACTTTTCTACTTATATAGGTCGTGATGGTATGTATTACGTATCTACTTATGTAAGTCGTGATGGTTTTTTTCATGGAAAATTTGTTTCAGTTGATTTTTTTTGGCTGTTTGATTTTTTAAATTAATTTAAGTTAAATTATGTTCGCTTACACAAGCTGAACGCACTGGGATGCTACAAGATTATTTTGTTTCCAATCTATTTCGCACTTTTTAGTGCTACCTTCGTGTGGTGGCATTTTTTCAGCATTGGAAATTTAATAGCCTGTGCTTTGACATTGAATTGAAAAAAGCTATTGGTTTCTTTACACTTGCGATAGGGTAGTAGATTTTTTCCCGTAAATAACTTTGTTCACAGATTGGTCAAAATTAGACATGGAAGGTTTAGTTCAGAATGAATTCAAGTTTCTTTACCTCGCCGGCACATTTGGTGTGGAGGTTTCGAATATGTCTGGGACGGCAAAGGTCCTGGGTTTGAATCTGATATGACCTGTTTGTTTTTCAAACTTGAAATACTCTGTTGCAAAAAAGCTTGTCGGCAAAAAAAACATTTGGAAGCGAGTGTATTAGTACGAGCCTTCTTGTTTTCCAATCTAAGTCTCAATTTAAAGTGCTACTTTTGGTGGCTCTTTTGTGGTAGCAGTATATTGTCATACTTGCTTTAACATTTGATCAGTAAAAAGTTAAGTCAGTTGATGCATTTTCAATTATCAAATGAACCGTAAAATTTAATTGTTTCAAACAGTAGTACAATGATAAAAAGCTCGATTTCAGAAATTTTCCAATTCATTGTATCTTGCAATTTTTTTGAAACACATAATTCATCTAAAATTTGGCTTTCTGCTTCCCAATTTTTTGTCATGCAAAATAGTGTCTTCTTGCATTTGGTGCTTATTTTGCGGTAGCGAATTGGCAATTTATTATCATATGTAGCTTGGTTATTAGTGGCTAGTTTTTGGGGAATTAAAGCATCCGCGGCTGAGTGGTTAGTACTTGAGACTCAAAGTTGCAAGTCGCTGGTTCGAATCCTACACGTAGCTAAGGTTTTTGCTAATTCGACGCTGGTTTCTACTTTTTTTAATTGCACTTATTGAGCTGCTTTTTGGTCGTGTTCTCGCAAGCGTTTGCGAAGCACAGCTTCGCCCCTGTTATTTGTCTGTTGTTGTTTTGTTGGCTTAGTTGCCTTATCGTAGAATAGTTTTTTTTACGAGGACACCCACAGTCTTCGATAAAAAAAATAAAAATCATTCCTTTTTCATCATGCTTCATCTTCTATCGCTTTGTTCAGTTCTGCGTGTGTGACTCTGCAATCAAGACCAAGTTTGAAAAGCACACCCAGAAGGGCATTGAGATCATGAGCAAGGTCACAGAGCTGCTGCAGAATGTATCGGAGTCTTCTAAAATTAAACGGTATAAGTTACTTCCGAACACATCAGGTTAAATATTGACTGTCTGTGTATAACCAAATGTATGGGCATGGCATCGCAAATGGCGTGAACGTTTTTTCAAGGTCAGTTTTTAATAGCCCCGGCCACACGCACTGCATGAACATCGAGGTGAGTGTAGCAGCAAAGTCTATAATCTAAGGACTAATGCCACCAATAGCAGCAATAACTAATTTTTGCTCCTGAGTTCACTGCTTCTTTCATCGAACATTTTTTTCTTGCCTATTTGAAATTTAAATGCGTTAATTAGGCTATCTTATTAGGAAAATAAGACGTTCATGTAAAGCATTGTGCTGCTATGAAAATAGTTCAAAGTTATTTTTTCTGTCAATAATAGATCCCAAAACGGAGTACAGCACAATGAACTTGTGAAGCAATACAAACAGATGAGAACCCGGGCCAAGAAGTTGGAGGCGTTTCAAAGGGAAGAGGTGGCAAAGTTTGGAAACCAAGTCCAAGCCAATGTGAGTAGAGACTGAAATGAAAAGGGCTTTAATCTGAAGTTGATTTGGTTTTCTGCAGAGTTTGGGTTTCTGCAGAACTGCAGTCCTTAATCTTTTAGATTGTACTTTAAATAGATTAAAAAGGCCATCAATCTTATTATATTTTTGTAAGTTGCTTTTCACGATGAATGGAAATTAAACAAAGTGTTGTTTTTGTTTTTAATTGCCTTAAGAGAACTGAAGTATATAATAAATTCCAAGAAAATTGAATTTTGAAATTTGCAGGTTTTTCGCATTTAAAAATAACTACAGGCTGCAGGTTATTTTTGACATGTTAGTCTATTCAGTTGTGGCTATCCGAAAAAAATCAATTTATCAGAATTGTCTATAACCATTACGAGTTCCATTCGCTGAATGGTTTGTGGCTAAAACCGAATGCAAAACAAGGAAAGGCGGTTACTGTGCAAGTAGCACAGAATTTTCCGACCATAGTCTTAAAAAATACATTTTTACAAATTAAGGTAGTTTTCTGTGTGGTGTGATATAAAAAAATCGGTACGAAAAAATAGAAGTTGGGCAAATCCGACAATCAGAGTCAAATATTCCAATTGGAAAACAGTTTTATAGAAGAATGGCTAGAAAAACGAAAAAAAATTCCCAAAATGGCGTTGAAAACTCCAAAAACTAAATTTAATTGCTTTAAAGTTTTGAGGGCTGCACATAAGCTGTTGTAAACCTCAGCGCTCGCAAAAGTTTCAAATTATGTCGTTCAAATCACGACTGAAAGGGCTTTAGTATGACATGTCATTCAAGCCATTCCGTTAGTTATTTGTGTTTCCTGATTTTGCGCGGAAAACAAAAAGACAAAAAAAACTAAAGCACAACCGAATACCAAATTTCTTCACATTTTTCAAATGGTCGGAACTATTAGCAAATGAGAAATATTGCTATCTACGTATTACTTTTCTACTTATATAGGTCGTGATGGTATGTATTACGTATCTACTTATGTAAGTCGTGATGGTTTTTTTCATGGAAAATTTGTTTCAGTTGATTTTTTTTGGCTGTTTGATTTTTTAAATTAATTTAAGTTAAATTATGTTCGCTTACACAAGCTGAACGCACTGGGATGCTACAAGATTATTTTGTTTCCAATCTATTTCGCACTTTTTAGTGCTACCTTCGTGTGGTGGCATTTTTTCAGCATTGGAAATTTAATAGCCTGTGCTTTGACATTGAATTGAAAAAAGCTATTGGTTTCTTTACACTTGCGATAGGGTAGTAGATTTTTTCCCGTAAATAACTTTGTTCACAGATTGGTCAAAATTAGACATGGAAGGTTTAGTTCAGAATGAATTCAAGTTTCTTTACCTCGCCGGCACATTTGGTGTGGAGGTTTCGAATATGTCTGGGACGGCAAAGGTCCTGGGTTTGAATCTGATATGACCTGTTTGTTTTTCAAACTTGAAATACTCTGTTGCAAAAAAGCTTGTCGGCAAAAAAACATTTGGAAGCGAGTGTATTAGTACGAGCCTTCTTGTTTTCCAATCTAAGTCTCAATTTAAAGTGCTACTTTTGGTGGCTCTTTTGGGGTAGCAGTATATTGTCATACTTGCTTTAACATTTGATCAGTAAAAAGTTAAGTCAGTTGATGCATTTTCAATTATCAAATGAACCGTAAAATTTAATTGTTTCAAACAGTAGTACAATGATAAAAAGCTCGATTTCAGAAATTTTCCAATTCATTGTATCTTGCAATTTTTTTGAAACACATAATTCATCTAAAATTTGGCTTTCTGCTTCCCAATTTTTTGTCATGCAAAATAGTGTCTTCTTGCATTTGGTGCTTATTTTGCGGTAGCGAATTGGCAATTTATTATCATATGTAGCTTGGTTATTAGTGGCTAGTTTTTGGGGAATTAAAGCATCCGCAGCTGAGTGGTTAGTACTTGAGACTCAAAGTTGCAAGTCGCTGGTTCGAATCCTACACGTAGCTGAGGTTTTTGCTAATTCGACGCTGGTTTCTACTTTTTTTTAATTGCACTTATTGAGCTGCTTTTTGGTCGTGTTCTCGCAAGCGTTTGCGAAGCACAGCTTCGCCCCTGTTATTTGTCTGTTGTTGTTTTGTTGGCTTAGTTGCCTTATCGTAGAATAGTTTTTTTATGTAAGCAATTTACATTTTAGATTCTTTTAGAGTTTTGATTGACTTCGGCTCTTTGTAATTTGACAAAACTTGACTTCGTATGTTTTCTTTCTTTTTACACCGTTTTCGGCTTTTTACACCACTTGGTAAAATTTCTTTTGGTGCTACTTTCACGTTATTTTGTATGTGTGTTTTTATATGTGCTTTTTCAAAAGTAGCTTTATTCATTTTGTTACATCTAGTTTATTCAGCAGTTCCGATTTTTTTAAAACTTTTTTAATCGATTGTGTGGCAAGTGGTGCGAAGATACGCTTTGCCTCTCTGTAAAACAGTTAGATAATACAAATTGCATTACAAAATCGTTTTCACTCGATATGTTTTGCGAATTGGTTAAAGTGCATAATTTATACGCAATTTGGCTTATAATTTCCAATTTTTTATATACAAAATTTTTCCAGTTCATCACATACAAAGTTAGTGAGGTTGCTTTTAGTTGATAATTGTTGACATTTTGATGCATAGCAATGTTTAATTTATTAGCATCTGTAGCTGCTTCATCGGTGGCCAATGTTATCAATTTTTCAAGGGCTGGGAAGTTCCAAAAGTTTAATTATTAAAGGCTAATTTTAACCTTTTCTTAATTCACTTTTGAGATTAACTCCAACATCGAATAGCAAACGTGTAAATGTCACGAAAAGCTGAGTCAAGGTAAATTTCTGAATGTTAATGGCACATTTTTTTTGTTTCGAAAATTTGAGTTATCATACTTTTCTAGCGGAATGAAAAAATACGTTCGGAACCAGTTTTCTGTAATTAGGTAAGTTCTATCAAAGAGCTGTCAGTCATAATTTTGGAAATTAGAATATGCATACTTTTTTTCTTGGAAATTCGGAGCTTGATGTTTTCAACAAAAAACTAGTCATTATTTTTTCTGTTTCCTTGCGCGCATTGACTGTCTGTTGGCTATGTTCTTTTCTAGTGTTCATTACTTCACTCAGAGCGTCATCAAGTTGTTTGATAGTGAAGCAACAATACTAAGTGCAGTAAAATGACCAAAAAATTGTATGTAATCCTCAACTGGGAAACAGCAGCGCTTAAAAATGATGTTTGTTGGCTATTTTAGGTTTCAACAGTGATGGCAGAGGAAGTGCTTCAATTGACTTTGATCCTGCAGAAGTTTCCTCAGCCCTTCCCCTCCAACCCCTCGGGTCTGCCTCAGTTCAAAGAGGATCTGTTCGCGTTTATAGACAGGGAACTGAAGAAGGCCGTCGATGGAAGATACCACAAAGACATAATCACAAGCTTCGAAAATATACGAACCAGGCTCATTGGTTAGCTGTGAACTGCAAAATCATTGATAAAGATGCGCAATTAAGTATTGATTTTTACCCTTGCAATAAGCCTGGGAATTGCAACGTGGTAATAGGCTTTTTGCCGAAAAAAACTTTGTTCACATAATTGTCAGTTTAGTATTTCCATTTCTGAGTTCCTTTCTATGTACCTATCACCTACATTTTTCATGTATTTTTTCTTTACCGATTGTAATTTATCTATTATATATATTTTAATGCGGGTTTCACTATATGGACACTTTTAAGCTTTTTCAATGTATTATTTTTGCATGTTTAACGAAAGAATTTTTTCACGTTTAAGCTATATCGTATATTGCAATCATAAAGATTTTTTTTCGAGTTTTCAAGTTGAATTCAGTGTTTGTTTCACCGAGTTTAAAATCAGGAGCCCAATAGCTGGACGTTGAAAGTGTTCTCCCAGCTGTTGCAATTTTGGCCTCCAATTATGAATGCCCAAATCCTTTAAGTGTACGAGATACGACGACTTTTGTGATTTTTGCAAAAGTTTTCAGAAAACTCAAATTACAAAATAAATTTCAAATTCCCAACCTTATTTGCGGGCTGTTAGAGTACTTTCAAGGATTGCGAGTTTTGCCTCCAAATATGACATTGCTCAAATCCTTCTAGTTTTTGAGATATGACGTGTTTTATGATTTCTTTTTTCTTCAGAAAACTTGGATTTTAAAAAATTCAAGATTTGAAATTTTTAACCTTGTTGTTGAATACTGTGAGGGCGCTCTCAGGATTTCCAAGTTGTAAATCTTGCGTCCAAATGCGATTGCTCAAATGCTATTTGTTTCCGAGATGTGACGTTTGTTATGTCTTTTTTAAATTGTTCAAAGAACTTAGATATAAAAATTACACAAAATGTGAAGCTCTCATCTTTATAATTAGACTCTGTCAGGGTACTTCCTGGACTTGCGAGTTTATCGTCCATTTATGACTGCTCGAATCGTTATTTGGGACTTTTCTGATTTATGATTTGTCGTTTTTTGAGATTTTTTCAAAAAAGTTTTCAGAAAATTTAAATTTAGTTTGTTTTTCAAGTTTAGAAATTTCTAACCCTGTAATTGCGACTTTCAGAGTATTCTTAGGAGTTGCGAATATTGCCTTTAAATATGACTCCATGTTTTTTGATTTTTTTTACTTATCGTTTTTGAGTCATTTTTCTACAAAAAGTGTTTTTCAATTTGCTTATTTTACTATGACTGTCGAATATGCCTGATCTCTTGTTTTTCGGTCTGCTCCTTTTATTACACCATGCCGAAAAAACGGCTCTAGTTTGAAGAACTTTTTTGCTGTATTTTCGAAATTTATGAAGTACATGAGGTTTTAATCTATATCCTTAAAAAGTATTTGATGTTATATCCTTAGAAATATTCTAATTTGATGTTTTTTCGTTGTCAGATGACGCGGAGTTGATCATCCCCGAAATATGGACGAAAAAACAAACACGGCCAGTGAGTGTGGATTTCCTCAGGAAGGAGAGACTCTCGCCTGGAATCAACTACTCCGTTTCCTGCAGTTCCCTCTGCGCCAACTTCAAGGAAGACCTCAGCTTCAGTTTCTCACTCAGTCTCAACAACCTCCTCAGGAAGATCATAGGACCCGCAATGTCCAGGTCTGATTCAGAGACTTCAATAATTAAGATTTAAAACCACTTTAGACGGCTCAGAGTGATAAATGTAATTTATTCCGGTTAATGAGCTTGTTAATACTTCAGTGATTCGTTAGTGATTGTTAGTCAATAACTGTTAATGATTCGAAACGAATTTTTCCTGTTTTTAATTTCTGCGGTTTCTTTAGTGACGGCAAAGCAAAGTAGATTGCAAAACTATGAATTGGCGATGGAATCTTTTGAATCTTATTCTTCGGCTCTTTTGCTTTATAGCGAGACATTTTCTATTTATAGGGACGAAATATATACGCTTGCGATAAGTAAGGGTTATCAAATCGGAATATGATTTTTTTTTTCGGTCAATCAACTAGTTTAACAAAATCTGTTTAAATTTTGGCCAATGTCTGGCAACAGACTTTTTCTTTAAACAGGCACTTAGCATAGTGGTAAGGCGTTCACTATGAGATCATCAGATCGTGTAATCGATCCCCTGCCATGGCAATGATAGTGTGTGAGGACGAGCTCTCACTTGACCTCTAGCTTCAGGTCTACCACAGCCTTACCAATTGCGGCTGCAATAATGGTACCAAGTGAATGCTGTAGACCCATAAAACGGCCTTGAGTCGCAAAAAAAAGAGTTTCGCTCAACAAAATAACTCAGTCTGGAGTGTAGGGAAATAAGAGAAACGGACTATGCTTAGACAGGCTAGATAGTCTTTCCTAGATCCTCAGCGAATCGCAGAAACCACAGTTATTATTATTAATTATGATTATCATGTCTGCATTTTAAATGGCCGTTCCTTTCGGACATTCTTGGTCGTAAATCAACTCTAATCTTTATTTTCCTTTGGTCGCTTAATGTTTTTCATTTTTTCACTGGATGTTTTTTTTCACTGGCTTCAAAGGTTTCGGCTGATGTTATATGTGGTTAGTTGCCTCATAATTAGTTGCTTAACGGACCAATTTTTTTCTCATTTCTTTTGAGTTTCCGCGGGGGAGAAGAGCCTTTTCTAGGCTCAAAATGTTTTATAGCTCATTTTTTTCCGGCTCAACAGTCGTCTACCCAGGTATTGTCTTGTCCTTATCCGTGAAATGACTTTGCTTTTGAATGCTCATCAAGTGTCACTGAACAAAGGCTTTTACCTATATATATGTGCACTTTTTGAGTTCAGTTTAAATTCATCTGCTGAAAGTTAGGTAAATTGCACTTTATAAATACGAGCGTGGAAATGGCGCGAAAACACGTGAACGACTTCTAATTTCAGAAGTGGGTGATTTATATTTTATTATTTCCCGGCTGATTTAAAACTTTAAGTAAGGATTCATTTTTCTCAAATTGTTTTAATTTAATCAAAAGGTGTCGGTGATAGACTGGTTTTGGAATTCATAGAGCTTTACGGCCATATATTTTTTACTTAGAAAGTAAAAGATTTTTCGAAAGTAAATCAGTTTTTCTTCTGTTTCCCTAGCTCTCATCCAACTGTTTTTTGGCTGTGTTTCAACACTGGCAGTTGTGTTATTCAGTATCTTTTCTCAAATTCAACCGTTTTGCAGACAATCGTTAAAAAATACTTTTTCGAATCAGGGTTTCGTCCTATTTTTTTCGGGCTAGCCGCCGTGCTGTTTTTTGTTGCATTGGAAACGGTGCAAAGCCGTGCCTCTGTGCGAAGTTATCATACCGTTTTTCAGCTCCGACTTCTAGTTTCTGATTTATCTGCATTTTAAGCCGGCCATTTTTTATGAAATTTGAAGTTCTCAATTAAGTATTCGTTTAAAGCATGAAAAGGTTCGTTCTTGCGTTCTCAAAAAGTTTATCGGGCTTAGTAGCCGAGAGCGACAAACACCCTTGAGCTGATTGGATACAATCTTCGAAACAGAGCAACTGACATCATTTCTGAGTCTGAAATCTATAGCTGAACCGTGTAAAATCGCCAATTTCGAGTGTTAGCTCTAATTTTTTTTCTAAAAACACCGGTTATTTACGGAAAATGAACGGTTATACACGGAAGTTAGAGCGTGGAAATGGTGCGAAAACACGTAATTCCAGCAATTGACTTCTAGTTTCAGAAGTGGCTTAATTATTTTGATTTCCCAGCTGATTTAAAATTTTATGTTGCGATTCATTTTTCGCAAATTGATTTAATTTAATCAAAAAGTGTCGGCCATAGACTGATCTTGAAATTCATAGAGCTTTACGGCCATATATTTTTTACTTTGAAAGTTAAAGATTTTTTGAAAGTACGTCAGTTTTTCTTGTTTCCTTGACTCTTTTCTAAATGTCTTTTGGCTAGATTTTAATACTGGCAGTTGTGTTTCTGAGTATTTTTCCTCAAATTCAACTGTTTTCCAGACAATCGTAAAAGAACACTTTTTTGAATCAGGGTTTTTTGTCCTATTTTTTTGGGCTAGCTGCCGTGCTGTTTTTGTTGCATTGCAAGTGGTGTGAAGCTCCGCCTCTGTGCGAAGTTATCATACCATTCCGACTTCCAGTTTCTGATTTTTCTGCATTTTAATACGGCGATTTTTTTATTGAAATCTCGAGCTAGCCCTGCTTGAAGCGGCGTTGTTCTCAATTAAGTCTTCGTTTAAACCTTGACTAGGTTCGTGCTTGCTATCCGAGTCTTGGGGGAATTGAGAAACCTAATTAGCGACGTAGGCTATTGAAATTGTTGAACTTGCTTGGCTTCTGTGACGCAAATGTATGTCTGCTGGGTCAATATTGAACTATTGTCGGTTGATTTTTAGAAGCATGATGAGGAATGCTGCTAGCAGACGTGTTCCAACCCAGGAAGAGTTAAGCGATAGTTCGCAGTCGTCTGCAAGATCGGAGCAGCATTTGCTTGTTCCCATTATGGCGTCTATGGCCATGCTGCCTTCTATGGGACCCTTTGGTCTCGTGATAGCTGGCGGAATTGTAAGCATTGTTTTTTTAAACATGCGTGTTCATAAATTTTTAAGTGAATGAGACTTAGTGAAAAAATCTGATTATTTTCTGCCGACTACTGATTTATATCGTTGTTTTCTGAAATGGCACAATTTTTTCTGCGGGAAAGTTTTGCATTTTTATTGCAAAATTAATTAAGGGCCTGGGATTTTATTTTTTAAATTGTAACCGAGTATCTTTCTGTATTTTCTGTGTTTTTTTTCTATCTGATGTTTTTTTTTTCAGATACCAAGTGCACTAAAAGTCTTGTATATAGCCTGAATTTCAAATAATTTGAGTCAGTTTGCTTGTTTTAAAACACAAACGAGCTGCGTTATTTGATGTTGCTTGGCTTTCGTGACTCGAGTGTATGTCTGAAGTGATGTTGTTTGGCTTTGTTGTTTCTTCAGATTTGGAGTAAGATCAGCTGGAAAGTGATAGTGTTGGTGGGTGGGTGTTACGGGGGTCTGTATGCGTATGAGAGACTGACGTGGAATGTGGTGGCCAAGCAGAGGAGCTTCAAGCGTCAACTGGTGGACTTCACCACCCCACAACTCTCCTCGGTCATTCCCATGGTCAGCCGCCACTGCAGCGACTCACTCGTCGCGTAAGTCACATTCGACTGTGTAAAATATTGTCCAAGCAGTAGCATGTTTAGGGCTGTGGCAAAGGCCGAAGGCCCCGCACCCTCATGGATTAGATGCCCTGGCCACCCAAATAGTCCCCCTTTGGATGTATTTTACTACATCTATGTTTGGTTTAACAATCATTACATTTTTCAAGGCGCCACTATAAACTAAATTTGAGTGCGAAGCCCGCAGTTTGCCTGCGGCGATAAATTTGTGTGCCTCGTAGTTTTTTTGGCAAAATACGTTCTTCATAATGTTTCGAGAGCTTGGAAATTTAATTTGATCGACCTGGAAAAAGGTAGAAAAAACGCCCCGCCCCTCCGTCAAGAAAATCCTAAATCCACGCCGGAGCACAGGTATAAACTAACAGATAAGTAGAAAGATTTTTGTTTGAATTACGCTATTTTGCTCGGTTGATTTTTTACAAAAATAGTTGCTCAGTATTCTGTTTTGTTGACGGCCGTTATTCTAGCAGATGACAATTTTTCTTTTGAAAAGAAATGTCTAAAAACAATTAAAATTGACGGTTATTTGTACCTTTGTAGGAAAAACATACAAACCCGAAGGTTTTCATTTCATTCACATAAAAAATGAAAAGGAATTTTTTTGTTCAGTTCATTTGAAACATGTTTGAGCTGTTCATTTGATTCAGAGATATGCAGAACACCTACGACACCTTGAAGATAGACGTGGATGCTTCTCTGTCGGACTCTAGGAAGGAAATCGAGACATGCGAGAGGGACATTAAAAGTTTAAATGATGTAGTTGATATATCCACATCATACATGTAAGTCTCCATTAAACATGTCAGTCTCGATTAAACTAAAAACCATTGAGCTCGTCTACTATTTTTAAAGGAAACGTTTTATCTATGGAAATATCCAATCTATGTACATTTTACACTTGCGAACCTAGTGTATTAAAACGAACCTTCTTTTTTTTCCAATCTAAGTAGCAAATATTAGTGCGACATTTGAGGCACCTTTACAGGTTTTTGATAGCATGTGCTTTGACATTCGAATAGTAATAAATGAACTCAGTTGATGCATTTTTACACAAGCAAAGCTTGTGTGTTAGTATGAACTCTCTTTTTTTCCAACCTAAGTCGCAAATATTTGATCAATAACCAGATATTAAGTACAGCCAATACTAAGGATGTTAACACAGACTATTATGTTACAAATAGCACTCTAGCTTCAAGGTATCATGGATCTGTAGCGTAGAGGTAGGGAAGGAGACTCGCAGCAAAATAGGGTTCGAACCTGTGTAGGGTCGGATGTTTTTAATGAGTTTTTTCGTATACTAGTTAAAATGCGTCCGCTATATAAATTGAGGCATGTTAGTTGTAAGTTTCTTTTTTTTTTCAAATTGACTGGTACTGCTAATGTGTCATAATTGTCGTGCGTCACTGAAGAATTTTTGTAGACTCAAAGTTTTTCAAATAGCGCTATCGGTCATATTTTTGCTTTTTATGCGAAGTGCAACTTCGCCTCTGTGTTAATTCATCAAATGAACCGAAAAAATCTATTTGTTTCAAACAACATCAAGATGAAAAAAAAAGTTATCAGAAATTTTCTAACTCAATATATCTCGCAATTTTTTGAAATGCATAGTTTATACATAATGTGGCTTTGTGCTTTCCGATTTGTTACATGCAAAGTTAGTGTTTATTATAATCCAAATTATTACTTGCAAAGTTGAGTCTATTTGTATTTGGTGCGATTTTTGCTGAATGGCACTGGCAATTTATTAGCATATGTAGCTGCTTTATTCGTGACTAGTGTTTGTCGGTTGCTAAGCTTGAATGACTGAGGGGATAGTGTTTGAGACTCAAAATCTCTTGATTGCAGTGGGTCGCAGATTCGAATCCTACGCTTAGCTTTTGCTAATTCGGGGCTTATTTCTACTTATTTCACTTGATAGAACTGCTTTTTGGTCGTGTTCTCACAAAGGTTTGCGAATCGCAGCTTCGCCTCTGTGTGATAAAATGGAAATATGGAAGGAGAGGATCATACTACTGAATCTTTTAAAAATCGACATATTTGCTAACTTTTTAGTGCGAAAATACATGGACACGAGCTGCAATTTACTGGCTTTTTGCAACGATTTCTACAAATGGGGCAGTAGTTTTGAAGATATTTTCACGCCTCCTTCTTGCAAATAACTGCCAGAGGATAACCACTCAACACATACATTGCAACCCCGAGGAAACTAAACTGGACTATGTCGTCTGAGACGCTCCCAGAGACTTTCCAGATGCAAATTAATATTTCCAGATATAGTTGACTCTAATTTATATCAACAGAAAACATAATATTTGCAACGCACTGTGTTATTAGTCATGATTTTGAATCAGAATTAACGTAACGCGCAATTGTTTTTATGAGAAAAAAAAACAACGAAGTTCTAAGGCAAACAGTTGTAGTAGCCAAACAATTGAGACGAGTCCTTAAACTTGCGACTCAAAACTTTTAAAATTTAAGACTGACTTATCTCCAGGGGTGGATGGGGGGGGGGGGGGCGGCTGGGGCTGGGTGTAAGCCCTCTATTCTAGGCATTCGACCCCCTAACCAACTAAAGGGTCTCCCGTTTGCTATTATTTTATGACATCAATTTTCGGCCTACCAACCGTAAGATTTTATAAAGGCGCCGCTGGCGCCGATATATACTAATTTTGAAGTATGCGGGCGCCGTAAAAAGAGCAGTCTAAATTTTGTTTAACCCAGGACACTTAATTTTCTTTAAGTGTCTTTAACCCAAGCGGTCTTAATTTTTTTTCAATCCAAGGACACTTAAAAGTTTGTGATTTTTTCACAAGAAAGTTTGAAAAATACTGTCGCTTAAGTTTGCTTATTTGCGTTTTGAAATTTGATTTTTTTTAACGTTCCCGACTGGAAGGCACATTACTCATTTTTTAACCAAATGGAGCGCACTATCATCCAAAATTATCCAAGAATGTTATTAGTTTTTTTAGGTTGAATGATATCGAACTATATCAAATTACATATCAAGCAAATCATAGCCAACAGACAGTTGGAAGAGTATGAAATCAAAGAAACCAAAAAATTTTCCTTCCAACTTTAATTGGCTTTCCTTGTTTTTTCACAGTTCTCCATTTGTCTGATGGCTTTGACTGACATTTTGACAACATTCGACACAATCTTACGTAAAAAAACTCTACAGATGAAATGGATAATAGTAGTGTTACTGGCAGGGTTACCAACTGGTCTCTATTGTAGTGACCGGTCACTATTAGGCTCTAAAAGCTCTCTACTTTTTACTGGTCACTATTTTTATTTATAGTCTAGAACACATCAAACTCCTGAGGTCCCCCCTTTGAACTATTTTGAGATATCCATTTTTGGCTGACGGACCCCAAAATTTTTCTAAAGGTACCTTTGGCACCAATTTACACTAAATTGAGGGGGGAGCGCGCGCCGAAAAAACGCGATTTTTTGGTCAGAATTTGCCTTTTTTGGCCTGTTTCAAATTTTTTTTTGAGATATTTTCGGTAGATTTTGATAAAGTCACTACTTTTTCGGCGACCAGTTTGGAACCCTGGTTACTGGCGTCTCCATTCAACTTCTGATAGGCCTAGTTTTTCTAATTCTAAAGATGGAGGTTAATACAATAAGAGCAAGAATTTAACCAAAAATGCTCTATGAATTACTTTATTTGCGGTGTAAGTTCATAGTATTTCATCACAAAGGATCTGCTGGTAAAATTTAGAGACAATTTCAGGTGGAAATGAAATTTTTAACCGTCTTGACGCAGCAGCTAAAGAAGTTAAACTGCTAAATAAAGCTGATAAAACTAAGGTGTTGAGTTTGAGTAGAAGGAAAACAGATGCCGATGACCCAAAATTGTTTGTTGCCACATGTAAAATAAAAATCATATCTGGGATAGGCATATACAAAAAGTTAAATAGATTGACGCCTTATTCACAAATTTATGCAATAAACATCTATCATCGAGCTAATTAAGGGGCTTGCGAGTTTTCGAAGAGAGCTTTTTTCGAGAAAAAAAAACTAGGTGAGTTGTCGAACTTAAGTTTTGTATCTCGACAAAGTTGATTTTCCGAGCTTCCCTAAAACCTAATTGTGGCGAACACTTTGCGCTGATGGCGAATTTTGGGCACTTTTTCAAAGATTTTGACCAAACATTGAGTTTTTTTCAGCGGGTGCCCCACCTTCAACATTTTTATTTGTTGACGCTAAAGAAGCCTGTAAAAAGTTATAAAGTTGTTCATACAAAAATTTATAGCGGAAAAACAAGAAAATAGATAATTCTTTGAATAAATTGGCAACCAATATTGACCAAATGGTAACTAAAACATAGTTATTTGTTTTTTTTTGTTCTTAGACTCTTTCTCCTCTTAACACATTATGCTCAGAACACCTCCTCGAGTCAAGCTATTTGTTCGTATTGTTACTTTGTACTTTAAATTGCACGTGGCAAGAACATTCAAAACAGATTTTTCTTATTTTTCCGTTTTTTTTAAAGTTAGTATCAATTTTGTAGAAAATTTTTTTGATTATAAGAAAAAATGATAAATGGCAGTTGGAACGGCTCTTTTTTTCCCCACCTCACTTAAGCATAATTTTTATGGTGTAACGAGGGGTCATTAAAGATTGGGTATGAAGAATAAATATATTTATCATAGCCTAATAAGTTGACATGCCTGTTTTTGTAACAATGAAACCATGTGAACAAAAAATTACAAGTCTAAAAGAACTTTGTTTTACTTTTTGAAAAAAGCTTTTTTATTGTTTTTCAAGCACTTTGACAAAAAATTTTGCGAAACAAAAAACGAATATGTTACGTCCGAGAGCAATTGGGACAGTCAACGTTTTGTGTTTTTATACGATCGATTTTGTTTTTGTTAGACATGATTTGACTTTGAGTTTGTTAAATATTGATTGGGTTATTTAATTGTAATTGATAGTTTTGAAATTATTTCTAAGACTATTTCTATCTCTACATTTTTGTCCTTTTCTTTTGTAGGGGTTTGAGTTGTTCTCTAGAATTCCAGCGACTTCTGTCTCCAAAAGTTGGTCTGTTAATCTCTTGCACTTATGATTTTTGTACTTAGTTTGATCTGTATTTAGTATTAAATTATTTGTTTCATTGGGTAACTGTCTTAATTTTTCACAAGAACAGTTTTGAAAGTTTTTCTAATTTGCTTTTTCTGTCGAATGGTAACCATGATAGCCGTTTTCGTGGTGAACGATTGTTTGTATTGAAGCTGTTTGCCATTTACCAAGGTTTGATGTTCTGATGTATCATTCGGTTTTGGTCTTAGGTTCTGAATAAGATTTGCTGTTACTGCATTTCATTAGTGTTTTATTCAGAAAACCAGGGTACAAATCAAAGAAAACTTTTATCTGTTCATTTCATTATTAGATGATCCTCCCTTGATGTGTAAAGTTTGTGGGATGGGTATGATTTTTAAGCTGATAAATTTATGTTTTTTTTTAAATTGAATGGTACCGTTTTTCATTTTAATGGTTTAGTGATATGGTTATGGTAGCTTCGGTGAATGATATTGTTTGTATAGTTTTTAAATCGTGCTAACTGTTGAGCTTGAAATTGCAATAAGTTGCCATTAGTTGTCTCAAACGAGAAATGATCTTCGTCAGTGAGTATTTTGGCTTTTCTGCAACGTTATCTAAACTCTACTCTTAATTGTTTTATGGATTGATTGTTGTGTGCAACATAACCCATTATGAACCGACCTGATGATTTTGCAGGTCAAACTTGCTTTTAAAAGTTAAATCAAGATCTGATAAAATTTTCTTTTATTCGGTCCAGCAACTTTTGGAAGACTTCAAATGTGCTTCATACTGCTGTATGACTTGATTGCTCTGGCAGTGAAACTGTGAGTGCATTTCATACATGTAGTAGTAATCTAAAATTCACCCTTAAAGAATCCGGTTTATGGGCAATCTCGTGCTATTACTCCTGATTTTTTTTAAAAATATTTTCCGAGTCTGATTTCTGTTTTAATAGGCAATGACTTTTATTTCAAATGGCAAACAATCATTTTCCAATTAGCTAAGTTCTTTTTTGCTCATCTTTTTCAATTTATTCTTCCGATGGTTATCACTGTTACTGTATTATTAGGTATGTGTTTAACTGGTTGGTTTTTTTTCATCTATTGATCATTCTCGTAATTTGAAAATTATTTCTTTCTTTTTTTTGTAGTTTAATTGTCGTTAGGACTTTCCGTGTCTAAACACGATAATAAATTTTTTAATTTTTCATGTCTGAAACTCTTTTTTTTTCTTTGTATAGAAGAGAATGAGTTCGAACATTAGTTTCTGGATATGACATGGTAATTTTGTACGTTATGTATTTTTTGTCTTAGTCCGATCTTATGCATGATGTTTTCAGCTCGAGTGGTATGAGGACTAATTCTTATGCGGCTACGTGAAGTAGGCAATTAGTTAAACTTTGCTTATGGCCTGTAAGTTGTTGCGGCAAACGTTTTTCTAAATATTTTTTTGGTTTTCAATTTTTTTTATTAATTCTCATTTTTGTAAGATCGATGTTTCAATTTTTAGGGACCAGAAACCCAGAAAAAAAACAGATATAGAGAGTGTAAATCGCTTCTTGCAATTTAATAGGCGCCTATCTTAGAGGAATAAAAACTTGTTTGAAAAGGTGTTTCCTAACTTTAATTAAGGGGTGAACGATATGTGATTGAGATTGAGACTACTGAATCAATCTTCAAGATTGAGACACAACTAAAAGTCGAGTAGATTGTTAATTAATGTTATTGTACTTGATTTAAGCTTGCGTCAACAAAGAGGCAACACTAATTTGAGATGTCTTCAAAAAATTATCGAACACCTGTAACTTTTAGTTAAAAATAGTTGTTTTTTTTAAATGAAAAATTGAAAACCAAGGAAAACCTGGATTTATTGAAAATATGTTGAAGATGAAGATCAATTTTACACAATTAGTTTTTTAAACTGTCGAATTTTGTTTTTCAGATTAAATTTGTGACCAGGGGCGGATGCAGGATTTTCTCGAGGGGGGGGGGGGTTTTCGAAAAATTTTCCAAAATTTTGACGACCTTTGTTATAGGTCGACCAAATTGATTTTTCGAGCTCTCCCAAAGCACTATTTTGCCCCTGTTTTGGGTCGTTTTTGGGCACTTTTTGAAAAATTTTGACAAAAAAATTGCGTTTTTTTGGCGCGCGCTCCTCCTCAGATTTAGTATATATTGGCGCCAAAGGCGCCTTTAGAAAAATTTTAGGGTCGGTCGGCCAAAAATGGATTTCTGAAAAAGTATCAAAGGGGGACCCTTTGGGTCGGCATGGAGTCGAATCCCTGAGTAGGGGGCGTCCCCCCCCCCTAAATCCGCCCCTG